TGAAATTAGTGCCGTAAAGCACGAGAAAGCTGCCTTCTGACTGGCTAATGTCAAGTTCTTGTCAGTAATTCCATTGGTCGGTCAGAGTTTGCGAAAGGTCGGTCTGACGTGACCCGTAACGGGATGTCTTCTGATCTTTGTTTAGCGGCAGCGAGAACTAAGATCTGATTTTAATGAGATTGCATAAAATGAATACCAATATACAAAAACTTGGAATCATATGGCAAAGTTGTTGTTACAACAACCAATATCCAATATCCTGAAGCAACCAATATCCAGGTGAAATCTTTATTACTTGACTACTGCAACCAGATTGAAATCATTTGGTCGTAAAAGGCGACTATGCTTGTCGTAAAAGGCGACTAACGGGATCGGGTGGTCAGGCTCGCTGACTTGGTTGATACATGTCATCGATCCCAATTGCGTAGATCGATGCTCATTATGTCAATCACTGGATTGTCTGGTCCAGACTCGATTATTTTAGAGACCGCCGTCATAAAGCTGGAATATTGCTGAGTGCGGCGTTAAACAACAACCAACCAACCATTGGGTCAGAGAACTTACAAGTTCTCAGCCACTACACTATGGAATCAGCTGCCACTACAACCGGGACTCCATTTTTCAAGAGTGGACTGAAACTACTACGGGCTGACATGAGCTGTGTACATTATATCATGCCGGTTTTATTAACTCTGTTGCGCTATGAGCATCCACTTGTGAATGGAATTTGGGGCAATACAAATGTAATTATTACTATGATAAAAATGTTGGTTAATATCATCATTTTGTGGTAGCCGATTTTCCCGACGTAAGGGAGTTAACTAATTAGAAAAGTCCAGTTTCCACCCTTGCCGAACTATTTACCCAAGTTGCACAAGTAATTTGATGCACTTCGCGGGTTAAAAACGCTTTATTTCAATATCGATCTTGATAAGCAATCACATCGTCTTGACTGGGTGCCGTCATTTTATTTTAAAGCTGGTGTTGCGTTTCTTTTTTATGCGAGTATGAATGCTGATAGAGATAAGCGTCGTTAGACCAATCACTCCTTGACGAAGCCGAGCCGATGCTGACAAGGGGAGTTGCAAAGCCATGGCTTAACTGACCAGGATGACCAGGAACGGCAATACTTTCAGTAACTGTAGTAGGGTCGCACTTGACGCCCGAAAGCAGTTACGACAATTGCAATTGTTCCATGAGAAACAAGCAACATCAAGAATATCTGTCTGTGTTTTTCTTCTACAGAGCTTTACCTTTTTCAGTTTTCTTTTCAGTGTTGACCTGGTGATAATTATGTGATCCACAACAGCCAAAAAGCAGAGAATTTCCGTGTGAAATAGACCTAAATTGAAATATAAATTTAGTTTTAGAAGATTGTCGACTTCAGATATTCTTTTACCGTAGGCAACCAAAAGTGGAAGAATCATCCTTTTATACTGCCTTTTATAAGTTCATGTACGTTTTTTCTCATAATTACGACTTTTTAAACTTTCGTAACTCGTAATTATGACTTTTTGTCTCGTAATTACGACTTTTTGTCTCGTAATAACGACTTTTAAAAGAGAAAAAAAAAATACCAATATGGTCCTAATGGGCTTTCGTACCTTTCTACTGGCATCGTCTGTTGTTTGTTCTTTTACCCACTTCAGGCTTTTCTGTCTCTTTTCAAGCGAACGAATTCTTGATCGATAGTTATTTCGGTGTTGCAAGACACGCTTCGGTTGAAAACAGAGAAGGTGTTTTTTTCCGGAGCATGGTATAACGTTTATTGTTTCTTCGTCATGTGTATTGACATCATGCTGAACTGATGAATGTTTTTCATTTATTATTTTTGTTGTTCCAAACTAAGGCAACAAGTTTGAGTTTAGGGTTCAAATCAGGTTTGGGTTCTTATGACACTTATAAATCTACATTTACAGATGGTTCCAAAGATGAAGGCGCTGTAGCTGGTACCACTATCATTGGATCCAAAACAATATCTTAACGATTGCCAGATAACAGTTCAATATTCGCAGCAGAAACAAACGCAATTTTAACAGCGCTAAACTATATCAATAACCAATCAAAATATTAATTATGTTTCAGATTCTCTTTCATGCCTTAAGGCAATCAAAAATATGTCATTTATACATCCATTTTTAATCCAAATTCTTGAATTATTTAATGATCTTGCTACTTACCAATATGACATCGTCTCTTGTTGGTTACACAGCCACGTTGGTATCACTGGGAACACATGGCCGATCCTGCTGCAAAAGCAGCACTCAGCAAACCTGTGACACCACTTCTGATCCCCTACACTGATTATGAATTCTTGATTGGATCTTTCATCCGAGATCTTGTCTCGTCCAGACTCGATTCCTTACTGACCGCCGTCATATAGCTGGAATATTGCTGTGTGCGGCGTTAAACAACAAACCATCCATCATCCGAGATCTAATGCAAGAGAAGTGGATACCCAAGTAGGTATAAGTAAATTACATGAAAATAAACCCCACATCGGTTACACCTACTTGGGCTCAGTCCAGATTTGAAGAGGTCATTATGCGACAATGTCGTATTGGCCATAGCTGATATACGCATGCATATTTACTAAAAGGTGAGGATCCTCCGTTTTGTGTCTCTTGTGATGAAAGAATCACACTCAAGCATGTCCTGCTTGACTTGATTTTTCCCATCACAAGGGATAAATATTCTAGAACAGTTTTGGTTTGGTTTGTTGTTTAACGCCGCACTCAGCAATATTCCAGCTATATGACGGCGGTCTGTAAATAATCGAGTCTGGACCAGACAATCCAGTGATTTACATCATGAACATCGATCCACGCAATTGGGATCGATGACATGCATCAACCAAGTCAGCGAGCCTGACCACCAGATCCCGTTAGTCGCCTTTTACAAGGACCTTTTTGATATTATACTTTTTAAAAGAAAGCGAATTAATCCATAAATTTTGATAAACTTAATGTATTATTTTATACATTGCTAGTGCTAATTAATAACTTTATTGTGAGCGGAAGTTGCGTAAAATTATTGTCCCCCAAAGAGGGTATGTAAGTCCCAAATCATTCGAAGTATTTTTATGCATGCCAGACTTTTAAACGTAGTATTTTCGTTATTTTAATCTTAGGCTTAACTGGTAAACTATCGCCAGTGACTGTAGGGTGGTATAAATCCTACCGGGGTCCGTGCAGGAAGCAAAGGTACTGTTAAGTCTCCATGGTCCCCAGTATGGTGATCACCCTTCAGTGACTGACGATCTCTAGCCCATTTTTATATTATGTTGTTAACTAATACTTTCTGCTTTTATATATTCTCAACAAGCTTTAAATCGAGCCTGTGATATTCTTGTTATTGTACTGTCCATCATTGACAGCTTTTTATTCAGTCTACATATATGTATTATTGATGTACCTCTCGTCACGATATGCCTGAAATACTGCCGATGTGACGTTAAATCTTAACTCACTCACTCACTCACTCGTTGACCAAGTATGAAACAGTTTCGAAAATACTGCACTATGTAATATTAAACGTCAATACAAGAATCAATTACAGACCCGTGAAGATCCGGAGTAGAATAGATCTTCGGCATCCCATGCTTGCCGTAAGAGGCGAATAACGGGATTGGGTGGTTAGGCTCGCTGACTTGGTTGATGCATGTCATCGTGTCAACTTTTTTAAATGACTGTAATGATGGGTCAATTTTTATCGACGATTTTGACATTTCGTGTCGTGGCAAATATATGCGCACAATTTAAAGACAATTATAGCTTTGCTTTAATAAAATTCAGAATTGGTGTCTAAAAATGGTTTCAAATTTTCAAAATCCAAGACAAATTGTATTCATTTTTGTCGAAGTTATAAACCCCTTAAAGATGATGATTTCAAGACGTTACTCCCACTAAGGTTGTTGAGGAAGCCAAATTTTGGGGACTAATTTTTTACCACCATTTGACCAATGTGCCACATATAACCTATCTGAAGAATAAATGCCTGAAGGTTTTAGACTTATTGAAAGTCGTATCAAATTTTAAGTAGGATCAGACAACCCCTCTCCACTGTACATGGTGGAGCCTGTAGGAGTAATCTAATACGATGACATGCATCAACGAAGTCAGCGATCCTGACCACCCGATCCCGTTAGTCGCCTCTTACGACAAGCATTGGTTGCTGAAGATTTATTCTACCCGGATCTTCTTGCCGTAAAAGGCGACTATGCTTGTCGTAAGAGGCGACTAACGCGATCGGGTGGTCAGGCATGCTGACTTCGTTGATGCATGTCATCGTATCCCAATTGCGTGGATTGATGCGCATGATTTCAATCACGGGATTGTCTGGACCCGACTAGATTATTTGAAGACCGCCGCCATATAGCTGGATTATAGCAGAGTGCGGCGTTATGCAACAAACAAACACACAAACTGATGACAGCAGGTGTTCGCGAAAACGGTTAGCCTATCCTGTCCTCCTGGACACCTACACTTACACAGTTTGTATTAGGGTTGCGACGGGTACTCGAGTACCCGATAACGGGTCGGGTAGCTTAGGACTCGAGTCAAATTTTCAGGACCCCAGTACCCGTTCAGGGGAGATAACTCTAATCGCCTTTCGTAACTCGTAAGTCACTTCAAAATGGACGACAAACGTTCAAATGTTTTAGGTAAGCCATGCAGGCATTTAATAAAAAACATAATACCTTAGAATAGATCAATAGATGTTTGATGACCTTTTATTCGCAAAAGCATTTACAAACAAGTGGGACAACATTGAACTACGGGTACTCGAGTCCGGTTCGGGTATTGTCTGCCGGGTACTCGGGTTCAGTTTTCGTACCCGGTCGCAACCCTAGTTTGGATAACGTTAAATGTTTGTTTGTTGCCTAGTAAGACGGTTGATAGTTCTACGTATCAACGGTATAGCTTGAATACATTATTTATCAAAGAGTCTAATTACAACTGTTTGCTATTTAGGGTTCGTTCAATGAACCGATGATAGATATTTGACACGTTTCATGCATATGCCAGCAGGTGCGTGCTTTGTTGTTTATGGTACTTGAGCAAGAGAAGGACACCATTTTGAAATGTCGCCCAATGCGTTAACAGGTTTATGTGCGATTGTGCTCCACATTTGCTGTGCTAAGGCAGGTACGTGTCCATCTTTTGTTAATCATGTATATTGTTTGTTTGTTTGTTTGTTTGTTGTTTAACGCCGCACTCAGCAATATTCCACCTATGTATGACGGCGGTCTGTAAATAATCGAGTCATGAGCATCGATCCACGGTAGAATCCGGGATGGAATAGGTCTTCAGCAACCCATGCTTGCCGTTAAACAACAAACAAACAATTGTATGTCCTGTTCATAAGAAGAGTAGTATAAGGTAATTACAGACCAATTGCACTCACGAGTTGCTTAGCCAAAGTATTAGAAAACTGTATTTAATTACTAGTATGTATTCAACTTTTTGAGAGATAATGACATTTTAAGTAATCTCCAGTGGGGTTTTGTTCCTGGTGCTCCAACCACTTACCAGTTAATCTATTTGTATGACTTTATTCAAAAAGCCGTTGATGATGGTAAGGAAGGGTAGTTTTTGTGATATAAGTAAAGCTTTTAATAAGGTCTGGCACCGGGGATGAGTACAAACTAGAGAATTATGGTACTAATGGATCATTATTAAATGGTTTGAGGGCTCTTTGACGGATAGAGAACAAAGAGTAGTTATCAACGGATGTAAATCAAAATTAAACTATGTTCTGGCTGGTGTATCACAAGGGTCTGTACTTGGCCGTTGTTATTCTTGATTTACATTTAATATTATACTTTTTGCTGATGATATGTCCTTGTATATCGTTGTTGAAAACCCAGCCATCCCAGCTTCAGCGCTAAGCAATGATTTGATCGAAATCTCCAAATGGGCGAAAACATGGCAAGTGGGGGCGGTCGGGTAAGCTAGTGGTTAAAGCGTTCGCTCGTCACGCCGAAGACCCGGGTTCGATTCCCGACATGGGTACAATGTGTGAAGCCCATTTCTGGTGTCCCCCGTCGTGATATTGCTGGAATATTGCTAAAAGCGGCGTTAAACCATACTCACTCACCTACTCACTCACATGACAAGTGAAATTTAACCATGAGAAAACTGAAAGTATCTCATTATCCCGTAAATGAATTAAATCATTGTAAAATAAGTTGAAATGCATAAAGATTTAGGTGTAGTTCTCCAGCGTGATACCCACTGGCATTCTCATAGAGATAGCATTGTAAGAAAATTCAGTCCGATAAGTCCTGTTTGAGAAGTTTGAAATACCGCCTCTAAAGGAAAAGTCTCGAAAATTTGTATAAAGCATTCATCTGAACAACATTCGATTACTGTAGTATACTTTGGAATAATTGTACTACAGATCAAGAATTGATACTGGAAAAGTTTAATCTGGATGCCCGAGGAACTATATGTGACGCAACATGGGGTCAAAAAAGATTGTGTAGGGAAACAAATCGGGAACCATTATCGCTAATACGCAAAAAATAATAAATCCCTATCTTTATTCTACTTAATATAAAAAATAATGAAGTACCAGCCTATCTCTGCAACCTGATCCCAGACCAAGGAAACGCTCACAGTGATTTGTCTTAGAAACCCACTCCAAACGATTAGATGTAAGGTGAGGTGAAATGGGGTTTCACGTCGCGTCCAACATTATTGCACTTATACAGCGACGTGCATGCACGAATGTGTGTGGCTGCTTGTACTAGTCCGGACTGATGCCGATTTATAGTGCGTGTACTAGCCCACTGAGTTACCATGTCGCAGTTTAACCTGAATACCCCACTCAGACAGTATACTGATTCCGAGCCGACCAGTCTTTGTTTTAGCCCCTAATACCGAGCGCCAGACAGGGTAACAACAAGTACCATCTTTAAACATCTTTTAGTATGACCCGGCCGGGGATCGAACCCCGGACCTTCCGCTCTCCGGGCGGACGCTCTACCATTAGACCACAGAGGCGGCCGATTAGATGTAAGACTGAACATTATGCAAAATCCTTTGTCCCTAATTGTACAAAATCTATCCGAATTAATTAAATCTACTGACTCATATTAAATTTTCGAAATGTATTATCATACACTAACAATTCCAAACATTTCTTAAATACAATTTTTTAACCAGAATCTGTCAAATTTATCCACTGCAGCCTCAGACTCGGACATAGTGACCAAAACGGACATATATTCGACAGATTCATAACTGGCTGTCCAATGTGTCCTTGTGGTCACAACTATGAAGACCCGCAACACTATTTCTTCATTTCTTGCAATTATGATCAAATTAGAAGCAATTTATTGTATTACATAAAATGATATGATATTAATACTGACCCGTGAAGATCCGGGATAGAACAGGTCTTCAGCAACCCATGCTTGCCATTAAAGGCGACTAAGCTTGCCATTAAAGGCGGCTAACGGGATTGGGTGGTCAGGCTCGCTGACTTGGTTGATGCATGTCATCGATCCCAATTGCGTTGATCGATGCTCATGATACTAATCACTGGATTGCCTGGTCCAGACTCGATTATTTACAGACCGCCGTCATATAGTTGGAATATTGCTGAGTGCGGCGTTAAACAACAAACATACAGTTACGCACAATATTATATATAAAGTATAGTCCCATTACTTTATCAAAACCGGACACTGTTGATTATGCTTGATAACTGACCACCTAGGTATATCTTTTGTAATTATTACATTTTGTATGTATACACCTTGAACATCTTTTGTTACTTAATTTTTATATAGGCTTTGTCTTGTTTACCTATCCCATTTTCAGTTTGAATACAAATGTTTAAACTATATCTATACACACAGGCACTTACTTTTGTTGTGAGCTACGGGTGTAGCGGTTACAGCAGGACATGCTTTCAGTTTTTGCGAACACCTTGTGTCAACTCTGATTCTCAGTGATCCATTCATATAACTGTCGTGGTATTGTCATGGCGATCTATTCACGACAACCTTGGGGCATGGGTGGCCCAGTCGTCTAAGGCGCCGCGATTCGCTTTTGCAGAGTTGCGTCCCTTGGGCATGCCAGAAACCTATAATTGTGGGTTCGAATCCCGGTTCGCCCCGATTATGTTTCTAGGTTTGTCAGCACCATAACCGTGCTCGTGGGTTTCACCGAAATGGTAAACGTCTGAGACCTGCATCATTTTGGGCTTTCCTCCCACATTAAGCTGACACGCCGCGTTATAACTGGAATACTGTTAAAAGCGGCGTTAAACCAAACTCACTCACTCACTCACTCACTCACTCACTCACTCACTCACGACAACCTTAGTTTGAATTATCATTTAATTCAAAAAGCTAATTACCAAGCAGCCATGACTTCAGCTCTCATAACAAAATAACAACAAAATAGTATATTCTGTGTGTCAAAACTGATTTTCAGTGATCAATTCATATTATTTCCACCCTTATTTTGCCTTTGACGCCCAGTAGAGCCTGTTTCGGCAGATAATGAAGACATCCTTGGTGTTGACGTTTTGTATATTAGACCCGTGAAGATCCGGGGTAGAATAGGTCTTCAGTAAGCCATGCTTGCCGTGAAGATCCGGGGTAGAATAGGTCTTCAGCAACCCATGCTTGCCCTGAAGATCCGGGGTAGAATAGGTCTTCAGCAACCCATGCTTGCCGTGAAGATCCGGGGTAGAATAGGTCTTCATCAACCCATGCTTGCCGTGAAGATCCGGGGTAGAATAGGTCTTCAGCAACCCATGCTTGCCGTGAAGATCCGTGGTAGAATAGGTCTGCAGCAACCCATGCTTGCCGTGAAGATCCGTGGTAGAATAGGTCTTCAGCAACTCATGCTTGCCGTAAAAGGCGACTTAGACTAGGCTTGCCGTAAAAGGCGACTAACGGGATTGGGTGGTCAGGCCCGCTGACTTAGTTGATGCATGTCATCGATCCCAATTGCGTAGATCGATGCGCATGATATTAATCACTGGATTGTCTGGTCGAGACTCGATTATTTTACAGACCGCCGTCATTAAGCTGGAATATTGCCGAGTGCGGCGTTAAACAACAAACCAACAAACCAACCAATTTTGTATATTAGCGTGGGACTGGCTGGAGTATTGTTCTAAAAAGGGGTATTTTCATTGTTTAAATGGTCAGGAATTTGCATGGTTTTGGGCCAAAAGCATCTCTGTGAATATCCTCGTTTTTTGTACTTTCCCTAGAGTCTAACCTTGCCGAAGGAAAGCCATCAGACGCATCATATTTAGAGAGTAGACCACCTAGTGTATTGAACGATGGAAAGCCAACTGCGACAACATGGGGCAGTGGTAGTTGTTTAGCCCTATCAGACAGCGACCCCTGGTGGCAAGTTGATTTGCAAGGCAAGGTCATAGTGACGAAGATCAAGGTCACAAGTAGAAGTGATTGCTGTCGTGAGTATGATACAAATCTGTTTTCAAATTTTAATGTCGCCGGAGTATGTAACATATTATTGAACCAAATGAACTACTAAACCAGTGTGTGCGTGCGTGCGTGGAAATATGTAGACTCCGAGAAGACCTTGTTTTATGCCGAGTGCCAGGCAGGGTAACAAGAAGTACCATTATAATGTATTTTGGTATGACGCGGCCAGGAGAACAAACATCCTCTCTCGAAGTAAGCGCACTATCTCAATTGCTTGGATCGATGTTCATGATATCAATCACTGGATTGTCTAGTCCAGACTCGATTATTTACAGACCGCCGTCATATAGCTGGAATATTGCTGAGTGCGGCGTTAAACAACAAACCAACCAACCAACCAATCAAATCATGATATTAATCACTGGATTGTCTGGTCCAGACTCGATTATTTACAGACCGCCGTCATATAGCTGGAATATTGCTGAGTGCGGCGTAAAACAACAAACCATAAACCAATGCACCATAGAGGCGGTCCACCTACTTTATAGATGGAGTGATATCACTGCCCAGTTTCAATGTTAACTGCTGTATGCTCAGGGCTGGGTGTGAAATTTAGAAATTTTCTCAACTGATATAGATGACACGGTTAATACTCGATCTACTTAGATTCTCAAAGGGGCGGTGGATGCTTATTGGTGCGAAGGCCCAGGTTCGATTCCCTAAATGAGTACAATGTGTGAAGCTTATTTCTGGTGTCACCCGCCGTGAAATTGCTGGAATATTGCTAAAAGCGGCGTAATACCATACTGACTGACTCAGTCGATTCTCAAACTTGATGTTATGAAGAAGCAGCCTGAACGCTGACATTATCTATTGAAAACTGGAACAATACCATTCGGCTGATGTTTTCGGCTTTATAATATAAAATCCATAACGGTGATATTCAGATCTGCATCTCCTTGTTGATTCTATCAAGATTAGATTACAAACGCAGTCAAGTTTCAATTTTTTGTAGCTTAGTGGTTTGTTTAAGCGTTCGCTCGTAACACCGAAAACCGGGTTCGATTCCCGACATGGGTACAATGTGTGAAGCCCATCTCTGGTGTCCCCCGCCGTCATATTGCTGGAATATTTCTAAAAGCGGCGTAAAACCATACTCACTCACTCAGAAATTGCCCTGACTTGACAGTGACAGGTATTCAAGATAGTTTGTAATGACGCAATTGCATCTTCATTGATCAAATCTAAAACCACGTGGGGCCCCCGGTTTGGATCGGGTGGTCAGGCTCGCTGACTTGACTGATGCGTGTCTTCGTATTCCAATTGGGTAGATCGATGCCCATGATGTCAATCACTGGAACGTCTGGTCCGGACTCGATTATTTACAGACCGCCGTCATATAGTTTGAATATTCCTGAGCGCGGCGTCAACAACAACAACAACAAAAAAACTTCGGTAGGCCTGTAAATAGTTACCCCATCAAGAGCATAATCCATAGAGCTACGGTTTGCTTGGTCGGTGGTTGGTGAGGTGAGGTGAAATGGAGTTAAACGTCGCGTCCAAGATTATTACACTTATACAGCGACGTGCATGCATCTGTGGCTGACCGGACTGATGCTAGCTCACTGAGATACCATGCCATAGTTTAACATTAAAACCCCACTCAGACACAGTATACTGACTCCGAGCCGACCAGTCCTTGTTTTAACACCTTAATGCCGAGCGCCAGACAGGGTAACAACAAGTCCCATCTTTTAACGTCTTTTGATATGACGCGGCCGGGGATCGAAATCCGGACCTTCCGCTCTCCGGGCGGACGCTCTACCACTGGACCACGGAGGTGGTCCCGGTGGTTGGTAGTACGAGACAGGGGTAACTAAACTAATTTTACTTTCAGCTTGGAGACTTCGCGACTTTTCGATTGATGTGTACGAGATGAACCCTTCTCTACACCCGAACACGGTTGGCGACCATTGCCACTACTACGCAGGGATTATCGCTGTCGGTGGGGCCACCATCACTGTCCCCTGCGACAATGCAGTCACTGGACGCTTTCTACGTGTCTCTGGAAAGATATCGAAAAGTCATAACAATCCCTTCCAGCTTTGCGAAGTACAAGTGTTCGGAGTGGCAATTTCTAGACTAACGACATGTAAGTGTGTAATCTAGTTTCAGCATAGAATTCTTGAAATGTATTATCATACACTAACAATTCCAAACATTTCTTTAATACAATTTTTTAACCAGAATCTGTCAAATTTATCCACTGCCGCCTCAGACTCGGAACCCGTGAAGATCCGGGGTAGAATAGGTCTTCAGCAACCCATGCTTGCCGTAAAAGGCGACTATGCTTGTAGTTAGATGCGACTAACGGGATCGGGTGGTCAGGTTCGCTGACTTGGTTGATGCATGTCATCGATCCCAATTACCTGGATCGATGCTCATGATACTAATCACTGGATTGCCTGGTCCAGACTCGATTATTTACAGACCGCCGTCTTATAGCTGGAATATTGCTGTGTGCAGTGTTAAACAACAAACCAACCAACCAATCAGCATAGATGTTGGTTATCAGCCCATGAAGGTAACTTTCAATTGGTTGCTGGTGATCTATAACCCATTTTTATATTGTATTGTTGATTATAAATGTATTGTTTTAACTGTTTTTAACTAGTTTTACAATTGAAACTGTGATATTCTAGTTATCTTACAGCCCATCGTTGACAGCTTTTTATTAAATCAAAATGTAATTATTATAACTGTTTCGTCGCGATATGGCTGAAATATTGCCGATGTGACGATAAATTTCACTCACTCACTCACTATCGGCCCATGGTTCAGCAATTTACAGCAGTCACATTAGTCGTGCATGTATAAGGCCACCGGGTGGTCAGGGTACGCTCACCTTTTCGAACACCTGGTATCATCACTGTTTGACAGTGATTCATAAACACATACTCATGATATACAGTAAACTACGGTTATAACGAACACGCTTATAACGAACTGACGGATATAACGAACTAACTTTTTAGTCCCGACTATTTGCTGTAGTTATGCTGTATATATGCTTATAACGAATTACGGTTATAACGAACTAAAATAAGTAGTCCCTTTGAGTTCGTTATAACCGTAGTTTACTGTAGTAGGAATCGTAGAATCGACTGTTTTTGTCAGAGATTTCATATCAATATGGAAAGGGGTTTGTCAGATCGGTTTACTACATCCTTTGAAAAATGAACAAATAAAGCATACACTTTATCTTTCATTTACACCCCAAAGGAGACCAACATCGGACCGCAAGATAATAACACTATCCATAGTCGATGGGACTAAGACGACGATTCTGATTTATTGCATACACGTCATGCCAACACTGTAATCTATGATTCTCAACAGAAATATATACTTTACTGTAAATGCTCAGGACTGTAAAACCTATACAATTAGATTTACAGTTTAAAACCCCTTTTGTCTAGTGGTACGAGTCATTAAACAGTCCACTTAGTTAAGGCCGCGAGGAAATGCAGTAAAATGTCAGTAGAATATACAAGACATCAGCGATTATCCTATCACACAATGGTTTGGCGGTGTGTGTTTTAACATCTACAGTAAACTACGGTTATAACGAACACGCTTATAACGAACTGACGGATATAACGAACTTACTTTTTTGTTCCAGACTATTTGCTGAACGTTTTAGTTATGCTGTATATATGCTGTATAACTGCGGTTATAACGAACTTATATTAGCAGACCCTTTAAGTTCGTTATAACCGTAGTTCACTGCAACTTTACATATCACAGGTGTAAACTTTTCTTTTGCAACATTTGTAAGCACATGGTTCACACATTCCCGGGCATTGTTTTGCATTTATTTGTTGTAATACAGTAAACTACGGTTATAACGAACACGCTTATAACGAACTGATGGATATAACGAACTAACTTTTTAGTCCTGAATATTTGCTGTAGTTATGCTGTATATATGCTTATAACGAAATACGGTTATAACGAACTAATATAAGTAGTCCCTTTGAGTTCGTTATAACCGTAGTTTACTGTAATAATAACCAACGAACCAACAGCTCCCATCCACGCAATGGCTTCAAAAGGACCACGAATGAAGGACGTGTGAACTTTTATGAAGGTACTTTACATGAAATGCTTTGAGATATTTCCAACAATCCTCGATGAGTCCACTGCTCACTTCATCAAACTCGTTTGTTTCTATCTGTAATTACCGTATTCGACGTAATAAGCGCCCAGGGCGCTCTCAAAATTAGAAATAGGGGGCTCTTATTAGAATATTATTTTGGTGAAAAAAAACAGACTTGAAAGATAAATTTCGTGGTTTATGCTGACAGCCAGAAATGTTTATGTACGACAGATATATTTTTCTAGAATTTAAGGGGACATATAACACACGAGTGCGTATTGTACGCATATAATTAAGTCTTGTGAACATTGATCAAACGGAAGAGGTCCTAATTGGGATTGTTCACCAGCCAATATATTAGCAAATACCGCCGTGGGCGCTTGTTAGAGTGGGGCGCTTGTTAGAGCGGGGCGCTTATTACGTCGAATACGGTACCCGTATCTTTGGAACACGACAGAAGTCTGAAAGTATAAGTGAGACTCTGTGAATAGCGTTTAAGAATATACAACAATAAGAAAGTCTTTTGATCGCTTTCTTTCCTTTCCAGGTGCATCATTTGTCCAATATAAAGGCAAACGTTTCAACAAAACACCAAGCAAAACCATCAGGGTGGACAACAACAACAGAGCGACCTGTGCTTCTGAGTGTGAACATCAATTCACATGCGCAGGATTCAACATCCGGTACGAGCCGGAAGTCACGTGTGAGCTTATTGATGCTGCGGCCATATCAGCCCAGGTATCTGATGCTGCCTGGGATTGTTATTTGTACGAACCATGTCCAATAACGTGTGTGTGACTTCACTGTAATAACCAACACAAATATGAGATTTATTAGTGTAAAAAAACACGATTATCAAAATTCACTAGAAAAGCCTGATCGTTCCACTATATCACCAATCAGGAAGATCCGGGGTGGATCGGTCTTCAGCCATAAAAGGCGACTAGGCTTGTCGTAAGAGGCGACTAACGGGATCGGGTTGCCAGACTCGCTGACTTGGTTGATGCATGTCATCGATCCTAATTGCGTGGATCGATGCTCATGATATTAATCACTTAATTGTCATCAATCTATTCTGTGGTGAATCCCAGAATACTAAATGGTCATGAATTACGTTTTATTGTAATCCTTTTACATCGTAAAAGTAGACTGGTTCTCCCATGGAAAAAGGGAGAAGCAGGACGATATGCTCGTGTGTCGTATTACTTGTGACCTTCTCCTGCATTTTCGTTGAAGTGAGTGTGAGTGAGTGAGTATGGTTTTACGCCGCTTTTAGCAATATTCCAGCAATATCACGGCGGGGGAAATCCAGAAATGGGCTTCACACATTGTACCCATGTCGGAAATCGAACCCGGGTCTTATCCATTCCATTCAAATAATTTTCACCACTATTTATCCCATTACATCTAAGTGGAATCTGTTTCGGCAGAAGATCGAGACTGATTACTCTCTGGCGTTGACATTTTATATTTGATATTAGTTCCCTGCAAGGTCTGGTTATGAATCAGTGTAGTTCACTCTGACATCTTCAGTCGTAGAAGCGATGTCGGGCACACGATGCAACCTAAGTTCCCCTTACTAATATATGATCATCATAATAAATAAATACATTGCAAGTGATTTCGTTGCATTTGATTGGCTAAGTAGGCAGTTTCTTTTCACTGTGCTTCCATCAACCGGAAAAACTTAGGTCACGCCCACCAACGGTCCACTGTTTCCTGATTGGCTGATAACAGGGTGGGCGGGGCTTAGGTTGCTTTATTGGGCGGAACGATGTCTGTGATTTCGTATTGTTGTCCACAATTGATTTGTCTTAATGATTACATAAGGCGTCTGTGAAGTTTTATTATTGACGGATTTATTAATAAGAATTGGCTTCGATATGTTTATGCGTTTACGAAGTCAATTCTTCAATACATATTTAACAAATGACATGACTAAACACTGTGATTTGCTTTAATTGTCTGGCATCGCTCCCGACCGGAGATGAGCGTTGCTCATAATATCAATATACCCGTGAAGATCCGGGTTAGAAAAGGTTTCAGCAACCCATCGTAAAGGGCGACTATGCTTGTCGTAAGAGGCGATTAACGCCATCGGGTTGTCAGACTCGCTGACTTGGTTGATGCATGTCATCGTATCCCAATTGCGTAGATCAATGCTCATGATGTCAATTGCCTTGTCGAGACTTGATTATTTACAGACCGCCGTCATATAGCTGAAGTATTGCTTAGTGCGGCGTTAAACAACAAACAAAAGCAGACAAAACGTAATATAAGTCACTGGTCATTTACCGGCTGCCGCCTTACAGATTGAATGTTGCTTTTTGTCACTTTACATATAAAAAGACAAAGACAATACATTAATCCTTTCAGCATGAAATGACAACTATGGGCATAGTATCAAATGATTCCAAACTTGGTTTTCCAAATAGAGCACATTAATGCAAATAGACCATTTCGTGTAGTGTAACACGATCTGATCCAACGCACTGAGTGTTAACATTCGGGTGATAAACTCTCTTTTATTGGCAGCAAATAGCCTTCCATTGTTTGACACCGATTGTTTGACACCAATTTGATTGTTTCAAATTTCCATGAAATACGTTAATCACCACTTGGCACAATATATGACTATGTACAGGCAATTAGGTCCCAATTGCGTGGATCGATGCTCATGATGTCAGTCACTGGATTGTCTGGTGCCACCTTATTCTCCACTCGCGGCTTATTTCTTAAATAGTAGACAAATTGCAAGTGATTCTGTGGCATTTGATTGGCTGAGCAAACAGATTTCTTTTGCGAGTAGATAGTCTTCCAGTACATTAGGCGATTGTTTTATCATCTATGTGTTTCTTTCACATTTACATGAAATTTGTTATGACTATGCACACGCAAATATAGCACAAGATTCATTCCTTATTCGGTAGAAATACTTTGACACTTTCGTCTTTCAAATACAGTGTTAAAACAAATACATTAATTGCATCTCCTTGTTACTTTTTATCTGGGGATAAAAGACCAGATATTCTTTGAACTCGTTTAAGATATTCCTTTAATTTCTCAGAAAACGTATCATGCTTACGTAGAAATCGGTGTGGAAATGTCTATCAATGTCCTAATTATGTCTTCAGAACTCTCATTGGAATATTATATTGTCAGTTGGAGTTATATTTCGATCTAAACTATTCCGAGGTTAATGCTCATTATAACATAACATTTTATGTTTAGAAGTGTGCATTATGATTAACATTTTCTTCAAATTTTACTTATCAAGTTATGTATATATATAATTTATCTCGTTTACATGTATTTTACATTTGTTGTTTTTTGATTTCCAGATCATTATTAAAAAATGTATTGATCATAACAATATGTAAATATCACTATTTTACTATTCTCGCTATTAATAATACTGTCCACTGTCTGAGTATATGTTTATGAAGAGGGCGTCGTAAATTTAAATTTGTTGCCTTATCCGCTTGATCTTTTATGTTAATAAAATATGTTTAAGCAATGACACTGCATTTGTTCGGAGTTTTAACGTTCAACAAGGTATTGGGCCCCCGAGTATTTTTAAAGTATTTTGTACAATACTTTGAAGACATGCTTGTTTTTAAATTTGGTGTGATGCTATTATCAACTGACATTATTGAAGGCTCTGTCCAGGGGGTTAAGTATCGTAAAAATATTGTCCCCATGTGTGACACGTAATCCTATCATAATCGATGTAACTATCATTAACCAGTGTTTTTAAGCAAATTGCAAACTCACTGATGAGTATTTTTTTAATATTGGCTAGTATTGTGCACAAACACCAGTAGCTAAAGTGATGACATAAATCCTGCTGGGGTATCATGCAGGAAGCAGAGGTACTGTAAGTCACCTAGCGAGGTGGCCTATAGGTTTGGTTACTGGTGACCTATAGCTCGTGTTTTAAAACTGTAGATATAAAATTGTAATGCTCAAATATGTTTCATAAATTGTTTCTAAAAGGTGGCCTGTAGCTCGTGTTTTAATACTGTATATATAAAATTGTCATGCTCAAATATGTTTCATAAATTGTTTCTAAATATAGTATGCACAAATATGTTTCACAACTTGTTTTTAAATAAAACTTTGCATAAAAAACTAAATTGTAAATATTTTAACTTGGCTGAAATAATGCCGATGCGACGTTAAATTTTAACTTTGAAGGCTGATATTGGCAAAATCGAAACAAGGAAATTTGGCCAAGATGTTTAACTTAATTTTTAGATATATCTATGATCTAATGTTTAATAATAGTGAAATAGCCAATTGTCTTACACCGAGTTATCAACCTGAACTTGAAATAGAAGAGACCAGTGAAACCGCCTCATATGTTTGATATTTATATCTATGCATAAAGATTCAGAGTGACAAGAAGCTATCCACAAACCTGATTCACCAAGGGGGGTTGACTTCAACTTTCCAAAAGACAACTGCCCTTTTTTCCGTTGGTCTCTACAGTTCACAATTCTTTCCACGAAGAACTCAAAGTGCGTGATACGACTCTTCTTCAGAAGTTCTCTGATCAGGGTTACACCATTTAAAGCCATAGGAAAGCTTTCAAAAACTTTTAAGGTAGAAATGTAGAAAACATTTTCAAATTTAACGCATCATTTACAAAAGCCTCTTCCCGAGGAAAGGTAGACAGGGCTGGAAATCCATGCTCGATCTTAGCGCCACAAGTGGCTATCACAAGCTATGTCCCTTCTGTGGCCCTTCTATTGACCAATCAGATTCCACCTCTCATATCACTTGCATTTCCTTCAAACAAAATTGCGGCGCCCAGTCAAGACGATCTGATCGATAACCAAGATCTATGTCTTACCCGCGGAGTGCATCAGATTACTTCAGCACCTTGATTAAAAGCATGAAAAGATTTGCAAATTATCTGTCGACGCCCAGTTGGCGGTTCACGTGCTGAAATCTGCACGTTGAAATCCATGTAGTTTACGAACCGGATGTCTAGTTGGTTGCGCGACTTTGATTGGACTATACTCGTTAGTCCATACAAAATGCAACTCCGGAATTCCAGCCTAGTTCGGCAAGGGTGGAAACTGGACTTTTATCGTCAAATAAGGCCCTTGCCTCGGGAAGATGATGCAGTTCTCTGTGTTGCCTATCCAAATGTTCCTGTGTCTTTTCAGGGAACAATTTCCCTTGCATGTGATTGTGACACGTGTCAACCGTTGATGCAGGATACACTCGCCTTTTCGCGAACACCTGGTATCATCACTATTTGATAGTGATTTACAAACAGATACATGTACTCGTGACATAATAGGAATCGTGCAATTGACTCTGCTTATTTTTCTTGTGATTATGGAAATGTTTTTGTCAGAAAAACCCCATTACTGGATTTGCACCCACAAATATCGACGAAGCTGTTCCAATGTGGTGAGTCCATTATGTATGGTACAAACTGCATACGATCTTAAATTCTAATGCAATTCTTTAATGAACGGGGCGGTCGGGTAGCCTAGTGGTTAAAGCGTTCGCTCGTCACGCCGAAGACCCGGGCTCGAATCCCGACATGGGTACAATGTGTGAAGCCCATTTCTGGTGTCCCCCGCCGTGATACTGCTGGAATATTGCTAAAAGCGGCGCAAAACCAAACTCACTCACTCACTCACTTTAATGAACGGTTATCATGGGAGGGAGGTGTTGTCATGATCACACTGCCGAGAGGATCGATCAATTAAATATTAGGTGCGGACGTTAGAGTTAGGTTGGGCTGTATGTAAGCTTTACTGTCTGAATGGGTGGATATTATGCAAGTTGCATGGAGTGAATAGCGTTGTTGTATGTATGGCGTTGAGTGATTGAGTGGGCCATAAAAGAGACAATGGCAAGTGCAGTCGTTTGATAATCTAACACAGGTTT